ACCGTATTTAAGTTTTTTTTGTACCTCCTTTTATTTCCGAGATATGATTGAAAAAGTAATGGCATGTTTTTTCATAGAGTCGAATGTAATCGTCCTGATACTTTTGGACGGTAGTGTATGTGCCCAAATCTTCTGTGCCACGTATCGTCCGAATTCACTGCGATGCCTGCTAGCAAATCATCCTTTTTAAGGTTTAATATGTACACACCTTGCACTAAATAGCAACCAGCTCTTCTTTTATGTTGTATATTTTACAACAATTCGTATCAAAATTCACAGTGTTTCCGTTTTTAATTAATTGACTCACAGAAAGTAAGTTAGTGGTAAATTCTGGCACATGCAGTACCGTTTTTACTGGGATAATAAAATTTTTCTGGCAAACCTGCTAATAAAAGAGAATCAATCCATTCATCATCGATATTGAAACCCGTACCACGTAATTTTTGTTCTGTTTCTACAATCTGATTAACGTAATTCGTCATTGAGTCACAATTTACTAAACGCGTAGAAATCAAACTACGAAGCAATGATATCTTTCTGGTATACCCAGAATCGTCGAAAAGATTTTTTAATGTCTGCCATAATGCGACTGTCGTTGCTGCACTTTTTATATAAACGTATAGGGATGAATCTATTGTTAAAATAATCTTTGCTTTTTCTTTCGCATCATTTTCGTCACTCACTACATTAATGTACTCTAAAAGTCCTTCTAGTACTAGTTTTCACGACCTTTAAATTTCGGTACATTAATCACGTAATTAGCAGACATTCCGTCGATTCTGTGCAACGAACAAAAGAAAATTTAAAGCAATGTAATTAAATGCCACACAATGAAAATCGATCCTGGGCCCATATCCTATTGTAAAACAGTTAAATAAGGATTAAATTGAGGGGCTGGATGCTATATTGTGTTACGCGTAAGTTTAGGCGGATAAGTTTTGTCCAAGAGATCAATTTTTAATGTTGTTCAAATTGCAAATTCAACAATTGTTTCTTATAGAGAATGCAATTCTGCATCTTTTTTCCTTTATACATTTTTTTCTAATTGTTTTCCTTTTCGAAATAAATTGAAAAAATCTCATTTTCCAGAGAAAAATATTTTCAATGTTTTACCACTTCAACTCGTGATAATTATTGGTTAATTTTGAATATTTTTTAATGAAACAAAAAGGAAATTAAAGCTTGGAATATGCTGAAAACAAAGTGATCATAGAAAAGAAAATATTTGAAAGACAAATGCAATGCAGAAAATGTGTTTTCAAATCTTTAAGCGCTTCGTTTATCTGGAAAATTTTAAGCCCTGACAAACTTCCAGTGAGAAAGTGGTTTATTAATATATAAAGAAGTTTTCTGTGAAGTTGCAGTAACATTGGATACATGCCTTAAAAGTTATTAATGTTTAAAGTTGTAACGCATCCTGGCGTAGTGCGTGCGTTTCGCGCTTGAGTTGAGTTACATGCTTTTCACTCTCACCGTATACAAATCAATATTTTTTTCTTTAACTTAAAAATGAAAAATATCAAATAAGTGTTTTTCTGGTGTTTCCTCGTTTTTATACCTAAATAAATAGGTCATTAAAATGTTTTTTAGATAGTTTATTTTCTAAGGTAAGTCTTGTCGTTTGTAAACAAGTTCGACCTTGAGAAACAGCAAAAGCGCAACTGTAAAAAGGTTTTCTTTTGTTATTCAAAGCACACTAAAAATTAGATAAAAATAGTAATTTTAAATTCGAATAATGTTTTAAATGTAAATTGTACTGTAAGGTTGGATATTCAAGGCAACCTTATTTTTCCCTTACCATTCTCAAAAGGTGGGAACTGCCCCCACTCTATCCACAGACGGGTCACTGACCTGACGAGCAGAGTTTAGTTTGGGACTACCCTTCGATTGCTGCGGATGTCTTTTTTTTATTACGATTTAATTAAGTGTTCTAAATTGAAATAAGTGTTCTTTTCTCACCATTGGATATTTGTATGTATTTTATTATTTAATTGTTGTATTTCTTTTTTGTTCTGTTACACTGTTGCGAGTTTCTGCCCTTCAGTGTTTTTCTTTTTCTACTTAATAATTTAATGTTTCCACGCTGTCGTGAGTTTTTGCCCTTCAGCGTTGGTTTTTATTTTTCTATTTAATAATTTAATGTTTCCACGCTGTCGTGAGTTTCTGCCCTTCAGCGTTGGTTTTTCTTTTTCTATTTAATAATTTAATGTTTCCACGCTGTCGTGAGTTTCTGCCCTTCAGCGTTGGTTATTCTTTTTCTATTTAATAATTTAATGTTTCCACGCTGTCGTGAGTTTCTGCCCTTCAGCGTTGGTTATTCTTTTTTCTATTTAATATTCAATGTTGCCATTTTGCTGACTATTTAATATGGGTCCTAGGAAGATATGTTAATTTGTAGACATTTGGCTCTATTTATTGTTCGAGGAATTAGTATAAATGATTTAAACTTCAGTCTTGAATGTTTATTTCACATATATTCCCGTTTTGCCACGCTGTCGTGGGACTCCGCCCTTCAGTGTAAAATGGGAATATTTAATTTTAACCTAGTCCCTTCAGTACAGTGGATGGAAGAGAATAGTGATTATTTTATTTAATTATTATTAATATAATAATTATTATAATATAACTAATATAATAATTAATATAATAATAATCCTTATTAATAAAATCAGATGTCTGTCTGTACATTGCTTAAAACTTCAAAATGTTAACATGATTAGTTATTATGGATAGCAGACCGACAGATTAGCTCAGTCGGATAGATGCCTCGCTTGGTGGTCGTTTAAGGACCAAGGGTATAGTACCCTTGGTTCGCGCCCATTTGGCTTGGTATTTTTCCGGCACGTGAGATAATCTGAGCGGGAGGTTTGACGTCGAGGTATAATGATGTGCACCGTCGATTATTTTTCGGTACACACCATTAGAACTCGACTGCCGATAAACCGGTTGTACTCAGGAAAGGTTTTCTACAGTTTCCCTCTCCACTGGCGAGAAAACCCATTAGACGGGTGGTCCAGGCAAATGCGAGTACTCCTAATTTTCAAGTCGCTCTGTAGACGCAAAGCTTAGTAATAGGAAAATGTATATAAGAAATATTATGTAAGAGAAAATGTAAACACACTTGTATAGCTAGATAAGCTTAAGACGGGTGTATAAACCAAATAAATAAAATTATGGATATCAGAGATTCCAAAAATATTCTTAAAAAATTTAATGTATGTACGTATGTATGTATGTATGTATGTCTGTCACACAAAAACATGTGTATCGATTTAAGTCTAACTTGGTAGGTTATTAGGTATTGACCCAAAGAAGGTTTATAAATTTACAGATTTAAAAAATATTAATTAGAACGAAAGATATTCCATTTTTCTAAAAAATTCAAAAAATCGAAAATTTCAAATTTTTTTATTTTTTTATGGATTGCTTTTAAAGTTTTTATACTTGAGTATTACATGTTATTTAGTCACATTTTAGCATAATTTTGCAAAAAATAAAGTACTATAACTAATATGTAAGTATAAAAATGTTTTCAAAAAATCGAAAATTAAAAAATTTTCCATTTTTCATGGATTGCTTTTAAACTTTCTATATTTGAGTATTACATGTTATTTGATTACATTTTAGCATAATTTAAAAAAATACTATTCTACAGCTAAGATGTAAACATGAAAATATTTTCAAAAACTTCAAAAAATGGAAAATTTCACATTTTTCAATGGATGGCTTTTAAACTTTCTAAAATTGAATATTATATGTTATTTAGTCAGATTTTAGCATAATTTTGCAAAAAATACTATCCTATAAGTAAATATAAAAATATTTTCAATATCAAAAAATCGATATACTAATTACTATGAAGTTTAATTCAGTAGTATTTTTGGAGTCTCTGATTAATATTTTGACGTCAAAATAATATAATTCAGAATTATTTATCAAATTAATCTAATATTTGCAAGAACTTCAGAAATATTAAAAATGGAAATTTTTTATGAATAAAATGATATTGCAGGATGTCAAAAATTGTAAGGCACCTGTGATACAATACAAGCATATTATGCCACTAGGCAAAAATTTATATGTTAAAACGTTTTTTTTATTTTAACTCTAGATTTAACTTTTAGAGATGTTTTGAGCAATGTAAAGACAAAAGTTAACACTGTGTCTATTTTTGTTTAACAAAATTTCCTGCTTTGTCCAAATTTTTCACGATTTATCTTTTTTTGTCAAATTTAAATTTACTTGATTTTATCCATAAATAAATCTATACAAATGGCTATAAAAATTTACTTATTTTATGAAAATACTCTTTCTTAAGTTCATATAAATATAGATTATATTACACGGAGAAACTTTTATTACCACTAATTCTTAAAACTGGTGAGACATTTTAGTATGTTAGGTTAGATTCAAGGGAAAAACGACATAGGTTATAGAAATTGCTATTGAGACTATCAAATACACTCATTCAGTATATATTTTACAGTTCTTCATAATGAAACTAACGAAAATTAGTATGTTATTTTAGAAAGAAAATAATAATTTTTTCAAAATTCGGAAAGCCATGAATTAAAAAGAAACACAACAAATTAATTGTCTATAGATACTCATAGAGACGATGGTGATACTTGGATCTGATGGTAGATGGCATTAGTGTATGTCACTGTAACTGTAGGTAAATATATTTAACACGACGTAAGAACCTAACCTATATTAGGGATGGGCGATCTCGATAAAAAAAGAATCGATTTAAAAAATCGATCTCTAAAATTTAAAATCGATTTTTTTGATTAATCGACAAAAAAAAATCGTTTTCAGAATCGATTCATTTCGATTTTCCTATAAATTAATGATCAATGAAAAATATTGCTTTCTTTTTTAATCACAGGGAATTTCGTTTGCAAATAATTAACATTAAACAAATTCAGTCTTTAAAATGCACTGAAAGTGCTTTGCTTCTTTATTATTTACATTTACTTAAACAAAATTTGTTTTCTTATAGTTCAAATTAAATTTGAAAATTCAACAGTTTTAAAAATACCGTATACATATTGAACTTACTGTACACTTAGAAGCACACTACAATTATTTAAAACCATTAAATGTTTTAATAATTATTATCATAATTATCTTTATGTCAGAAGCAGTCTTTTACAAGCACTAAAAGTGCTATATTTCTCTAATTAATATTTATTTAAATAAACAACAAAAAATAAAATAATAAAGAATTTAAATAAAAACAGTCTTGAAAGTTACTAAATTATACGTATTATTATGTTTTTGATATCACAGCATGAGGAAATCCCCACTGCTCTTCACTTAGAGAAGCCATAAATGTTAATTCTGATAAGCGATCAGGATGAATTCTACTTCGGTACTTTGTTTCTATATTAGAGGCTAAAGAAAACAAACTTTCAGACGGTACCGAAGTAGCTACGACTGGAAGATATCGAATTGCTACACTGTACACTTGTGGAAACGCAAGTTTCAACTTTTCCCAGTGTTCTATGGGATTTTCGGACCTATGAAGGACAGCTTGATTTTTATATTGCCTTAATTCCACGGGTAAGCCACCTGCTTCATCTACATTTGAAAGTGTTTTATCAACGATTTTATCGTGATGCATCCAAATGTCTGCTGAATTCTGTTTTCGAATAGGTGTCGAGGAAGTTGAAATAGGTTCAGTTAGGATCTCCATATTATGACTATTATTTGCTCTCATTTCACTGGCAATTTTTTTCATGGCGGTTGCCACAGCAAGGGCACTTTTGAAATGGATCGTTTTGAAACGAGGATCCAGAATTGTTGCTTTTGCGTAAATCGGAACATTCTCAATGTTGCGAAATCTCTCCTCGATTTCAGTCAACAGAATTTGCTTCAAGTGACGCGTTATGGGTTTCACGGCTTCCATGTTATTTAAGGAAACAGTTAAACAATTGACCATTGGGATGATAGCGCTACAAGTGACATAATCTTGCGCAGATAATTCTCGAGTAATTTGTTCTATTGGAGATAACATTTCTACTAATTCTTGCAGGGTTTCCATGTCGTCACGATTTAACATTGGTGGACTACCTTTCTGCAGAACCAGTACTGCACTTACAAGAGGAGCCATTTCAATAAATCTTTTTGCCATACTAAATTCAGAGTTCCATCTTGTATCGACGTCCTGTATTAGTCTTCGTATTGTCCCTTCTGTTTTTCCTTGTAGCAACTGCAACTTCCTTAGTTCATCGGATGCGTTCGTGCTCTGCTTGAAAAAAGTAACCAATCTCTTTACGCTCGATATTAATGCAGACAATCCAGGAGTAAATTTTATGGCATTTGTAGGAACCAATTGCAAGGAATGCGCGAAACATCCCAATTGCTTCTCTCGACCAAACGTTAAATTAATGGCTTTGACCATATTAGCCGCATTGTCGGTAATCACAGCTACGACACTTTCCAGTTCTATTTTCCAATCTTTGCAAAGGGTAGCTAGTTTTTCACTTATATACTCTCCAGTGTGAGATTCTTCCAATGGAAAAGTCCCCAATTTAATTGACTGCAATTTCTCGAATTTATAATAGTGAACGGTTAAACCTAAATAGGTTTGACAAGTCAGATTATTTTTCCATGCATCCGAGGTTAAACATAAGGCTTTAACATCGGCCAATTCCAGTTTTATTTTTTCACTTAAGAATTCGTATTTCGCATCTATCGCTCGTGTTAAAGTACGTCTGCTAGGAGGCTTGTACAGTGGTGCAGCCACTTTTATTAATTTTTTAAAACCTTTTTTTTCAGATGTGTTGAGCGTTAAGTTATCCACGGCAACCATGTAAATTAACGCATCTGTTAAAGCAACCTCTTTGTATCCTCCATCTGTAAATTATATAATAATTAATTGAAGTTCCTACATTTATTTCTAAAAAATTGAGAGACGCCTGTTTATTCCCGTTTTGAAAAAGTTCTAATCATAATTTTATCTAAATTAAAAGTTTCAATTGTAAAAAAAGATCTAAATTTATTTAATCATAATTAATTTCAAATAATGTTTTTATACTTGAATAACCACTTTTCTAAGGTTAAAAAATTCAAATGAGATTTTGATCTAAAAAAAATTGACTATTGTTTATTATAAAATATTATAGTTAATTATTATTATGTATAAGCGGTAGTAAATTTTTTAGACCAAAATCCGATTTGGAATTTTTAATAGAAACAATGGTTATTCGAGTATAAAAACATTATTTTCAATTAACATTCTGTTAAAGTAAACATTCAAAAAAATATATTTTATGATGATTTGAATTAATCGAAGTCCGAGAAAATTAAGTTTTCATAGCATAAATATTTAATTAACTTACATTTTGACAAATTCGGCATTTAAATAAATGACATCTAGAAAATAATATTAGGATAAATAACATTTTTATCAGTTTAATTTTCATCTTTTTAAGGATTGGACGGTATTCTTATTATTCAACATTATAATTATGATTAAATATATTCAGGTTTATTTAAAATTGTAACTTTTAAATTAAATAAAATTATGATTAGAATTTTTTAAAAACCGGGATAAACAGGCGTCTCAAAATTGACGTATTATTATTACTAATTATTTTAAGTTTTCTTACTTTTAAAAGAATCGATATCTTTAAAAATATCATCAATTGGCATTTGATTTTTCCGCTTCCTTGAATGTTTTTCACTATTGGTATTCTAAAATAAAAAAGTCAATAAGTTTATGAAAAATTTTCTATTTGAAAAACGTTAATTTTTACCTTCGGTTCTGCAGGAATGTCTGATAGTGTAACATCTGCCACTTGTAGTTCCGTGGTATTTTCGACAATTTTCGTTTTTCCATGTTCTGGATGATACCTTTTTAAATGATTAGTCAAATTTGTGGTATTACCAGATCTTTGAACGACGTTATTGCAAATATTGCAAACTGCAGATTTCGAGTCAACTTTGACGAAATCTTCCCAAACGCTACTTCTCGACCTTGACATTCTGCAAAACCGTTTTTTACACTATTATATTGATTATTTCACTTTCTACAACATTAAATATTTTAAAATAATTTATTGATAAAATATGAATAATTTAATATAAAATGTACCTCTTATAGCTTTTAAACTATTTATATATTACTTATATTGACTTGACGGTTAGGTTCTTAAAATAATATATGGAATAAATCGTATAAATATTACAATTATAGGTTTTAGTTTTATGTTTAAAGTTTCAAATAATTTTAAGTTACATACTTTAATATTTTAACTATTTTTTTACTTACTTGTTCTCAAAGAATAACACAAACTGCGACGTTATATTATAACCATGTGCGTGCACCATGTGTGAAAATTAAATAACATAACCTTCGCGATGTATTTACGATACAATTGTACGTACAGCCCTTATAGTTCGACTTCCTTGACGTATAATGCGTAAGTTGTAATAAGAATTGAAAGCCAATTAAATTCCTACTTTCTGTTATACTAGTCGACCATTGGCTGCTAAGGTATTTAAAACGTTTGCTACATAGAGATAAGAATAGAGTTCATGTGGAAAATTTATTTTAAATCGTTTGACAAGATCGTTCAAAAGAATCGATTTTCCTGATTAATCGAAAGTTCCAAAAATCGACTAAATATCGATTAATCGAAAGTAAAAGATCGATTCACATAAAATTGAATCGAGATCGCCCATCCCTAACCTATATTAATAACGCACACGCAAGTAAAGACACGACGATTGGTCACGGAAACCGAAAGATCGCACGATTCGTTAGAAGTACACAGATGAATCGTCCTTATATATTAAACGAGTGGAAAAATATGTACCTTCGAGAAAGAGCATTTTCTTAAATAACTTTCTAATCAAATTATGTAAATAAGTAAAAGTCGTGAAAAAAATTATGTTATATTGAGGAACAGTTCTTGAATTTAATTTGGCATGAGGAGACATTCACGTTTATTAATAAAAGGTTTTTTTCTTTCATACACGTGTGAATTTCAACTTCGAAAACATTAGGGTTAGTTCGCGACGTCAGGTGATGGACTCGGTAATGCTCGGGCGAAATCGGTTAAGTCCGCCCGCAGTCCTTCCAAAATTGGTATGTTACGTTAGAATGTCTGTTATATATTCTATCTATATGTGTAAAAAAGGTTAGAATTACCGTATTATTTCACAAACAAAAAGTGGCATCTTATTCTTTTCTAAAGAAAAATAAGACTATTTCCAATGCAGATAGTAATTTTTGTACACCGAAGGTTGCTTAATATATAACGAACTTATCATATTTTCGTATTAATGTTGAAATTATTAGCACAACGCACAAAAAATCCTCACATTCTAACGTACTTTTAGAATAAAAATAACCAAATATATTTAATATTAAAAGAAAAAGTTTCTCCGTGTACTAGCTGTCGTACCCGTCTTCGACAGTTTTCTGTTTCTACTAATACATTTAACAGGGTATCTACCAAACGGGAAAAACTGGGAATTTTCCTATCAAATTAAGAAAAAGTTTTATTATATTAATACGCTTTTAAAAAATTGCTTTTTACTTGAATTTTTATTGATGTGTAATATTTATAAAAACAGACCCAGGTCAAAATTTAAGCCCTACTTTCAGTCTAAAATATAGGTCTTATGTTAGGTTTTAGCAGTCGTAACGTAGGGTCTACTTGCGATACAATTAGTTCCAATTAGACTACTGTAACTCTAAAAACTGGGTGGAAAATTTTATAAATTTTTAATATATGAATTAAAGTACTACAAATTGACAAATATTGTTCTCTGCATTTGAATTGGTTAAAATAACTAATTTGATAATAAAAAGTCAATCACTGATTCAAATAGTAATATTTTCCTACTGAAATAGCTAATGGTAAGTAATTATTATTTTTTTCCGGTCAAATTAAATTCCCGACTATTTCCTGATTTTCCAGATTGGTAGACACACTGTTAAATGTATTGGTAGAAACTGAAACCCGTCGAAGACGGGTACGACAGCTAGTAATTAATATAAAAATTATTAAATAAAATAATCACTATTCACTTCCATCCACTGTACAATTTTTAAGTTAAAGAAAAAAATATTGATTTATATACGGTGAGAGTGAGAAGCATGTAAGGATGTAACTCTACTTAAGCGCGAAATGCACGCACTACGCCAAGATGCGTTACAACTTCAAACATTAATAACTTTTAAGGTACGTAATCAATGTTACTGAAACTTCACAGAAAACTTCTTTATATATTAATAAACAACTTTCTCACTGGAAGTTTGTCAGGAAATAAAATTTTGTAGATAAACGAAGCGCTTAAAGATTTGAAAACACATTTTCTGCATTGCATTACAAAATAATTCGTTTTTTTTGTTTTTAAAATATTTTCTTTTCTATGATCACTTTGCTTTCAGCATATTCCAAGCTTTAATTTCCTTTTTGTTTCATTAAAAAATATTTAAAATTAACCAAATTATCACGAGTTCAAGTGGTAAAGCATTGAAAATATTTTTCTCTGGAAAATGAGGTTTTTCAATTTTTTTCGAAAAGTAAAACAATTAGAAAAAAATTTATAAGGTAAAAGAGATGCAGAATTTCATTCTCTATAAGAAACAATTGTTAAATTTGCAATTTAAACTAGCTGTCGTACCCGTCTTCGACAGTTTTCTGTTTCTACTAATACATTTAACAGGGTATCTACCAAACGGGAAAAACTGGGAATTTTCCTATCAAATTAAGAAAAAGTTTTATTATATTAATACGCTTTTAAAAAATTGCTTTTTACTTGAATTTTTATTGATGTGTAATATTTATAAAAACAGACCCAGGTCAAAATTTAAGCCCTACTTTCAGTCTAAAATATAGGTCTTATGTTAGGTTTTAGCAGTCGTAACGTAGGGTCTACTTGCGATACAATTAGTTCCAATTAGACTACTGTAACTCTAAAAACTGGGTGGAAAATTTTATAAATTTTTAATATATGAATTAAAGTACTACAAATTGACAAATATTGTTCTCTGCATTTGAATTGGTTAAAATAACTAATTTGATAATAAAAAGTCAATCACTGATTCAAATAGTAATATTTTCCTACTGAAATAGCTAATGGTAAGTAATTATTATTTTTTTCCGGTCAAATTAAATTCCCGACTATTTCCTGATTTTCCAGATTGGTAGACACACTGTTAAATGTATTGGTAGAAACTGAAACCCGTCGAAGACGGGTACGACAGCTAGTAATTAATATAAAAATTATTAAATAAAATAATCACTATTCACTTCCATCCACTGTACAATTTTTAAGTTAAAGAAAAAATATTGATTTATATACGGTGAGAGTGAGAAGCATGTAAGGATGTAACTCTACTTAAGCGCGAAATGCACGCACTACGCCAAGATGCGTTACAACTTCAAACATTAATAACTTTTAAGGTACGTAATCAATGTTACTGAAACTTCACAGAAAACTTCTTTATATATTAATAAACAACTTTCTCACTGGAAGTTTGTCAGGAAATAAAATTTTGTAGATAAACGAAGCGCTTAAAGATTTGAAAACACATTTTCTGCATTGCATTACAAAATAATTCGTTTTTTTTTGTTTTTAAAATATTTTCTTTTCTATGATCACTTTGCTTTCAGCATATTCCAAGCTTTAATTTCCTTTTTGTTTCATTAAAAAATATTTAAAATTAACCAAATTATCACGAGTTCAAGTGGTAAAGCATTGAAAATATTTTTCTCTGGAAAATGAGGTTTTTCAATTTTTTTCGAAAAGTAAAACAATTAGAAAAAAATTTATAAGGTAAAAGAGATGCAGAATTTCATTCTCTATAAGAAACAATTGTTAAATTTGCAATTTAAACAACTTTAAAAATTGATCTCTTGGACAAAACTTATCCGCCTAAACTCACGCGTAATGCATTATAGCATCCAGCGCCTCAATTATAAACACGTCTTGTTCGTTTATCAGCACAATAAGAACTGATAATATATTTAAAGATGGTTAACACACAACGTAGAAATAGTACAGGTGTCTAACACCAGACAGTGCTCTTTTTGAAAATGCATATTATTTGTTTTTAGCCAGTATTGCTAACTTTCCTTGTGGGTAAAAATATTTCTCGTCTGGATTCCATTGGCTTTCCTACATAGAATTTAAATTTCGATCGAAATTTTATAGGAAACCTGTCAAAAATTTGATGTCATTTCGATCATTAATTAACTTCAATAAATTGAAACAAAATCCACAAAAAATTAAGAAAAGCTTTCTCTAAAACACTTTTTAATACCACTTTTTCAAGATACGAACTGTTTCACATTTTGCTGATTGTTCAGAATGAGTAATAGTTTCATAGTAAGAAATATATTTCATTTATATATAGATGATAGTTTTTCTCTTTTTTTCAAGTTTGAATCTAGATATTTATCTATAATATAAAAAAACAATTATTAGTCGACTGTCGTGTCTGAGTATTTAGAGCATCGAAATGATGTTTTTTTATCGAAAATGTTAGAAAGTAGAAAGTTTTTTTTTAAATGCAGGGTAATTATCTAAATAACCTTTTGGGGCAATCAGTTCAGGATGGGTACAATTTTTGTATAACAAAACCCTTCAACTTCTACAGATTGTACACTACCGGCGAAAACTGTGCGACCGCTAACATCTCGAGCTATTAAAAAACACACTCTCACAGAAACAGTGATAACTCCGTCAGAAATGAAGCTAGATGCTTTTTTTTAATTGCATTGGATAGCTTATTAAATTTCCAATGAAATGACACTATTTTCATTTGTATTGCATAAATGGAAAGCGAGATATCATGTTATAAACACAAAAAAATAATTCAATTTTTTGGGGAATTTCTTACCCTGACTTTGACTCCTGGCAAAATTTAGAAAAGTTGATGAAAAAAATTGACACTTTCAGACTAATCCTTGTAATCTAAGCTTTAAATAGATACCAAGAACAGCAAAAAATATTAACGGGTTCCCGAGATATTATAAAAATAGTCGGACCGTGCGAAGCAAAATTTTCAATCATCGTTTTTCCTAATTCGCTGTTGAGTCAGTTACGTGGCTGTGAAAAAAGTGTCGAAAATGAATTTTACCAAGTACATACTTAATGGGATTCACTTTTTAAATATCATTATATAATAAATTAAATTAAAAAGTGGATCCCAGTAAGTATGTACTTGGTAAAATTAATTTTCAACACTTTTCTCACAGCCACGTAACTGACTCAATAGCGAATTAGGGAAAACGATGATTAAAATTTTGCTTCGCACGGTCCGACTATTTTTGTAATATCTCGGGAACCCGTTAATATTTTATCTGTTTTTGGTCTCTATGTAAAGCTTAGATTACAAGAAATAGTCTGTGAAAGTAACAATTGTCTTCATCC